ACGGGTGCCGCAAGCGCGGAAGCAGAGCGCAATGCGCGCACGCGCTGTGTGAAATGACGGGTTCTTGTTCAAGGCGCGACAATAACTGTCAGAATTGGCAGTGACGCGGCATGGTTGACACTAGCGAGTGGGATGAGTCATATACTGTACTGGCTAGACAACTCGCACATATGTTGAGCGGGACACCCATGGATTCCCTGGTCTGGTCAGGTGTGGCCTGTCATGAGGAACGAAAGGAGAGAACATTGGTTCTCGCAAACCGAGCAGTGTGAGCGAGCCACCCCCTCTTGCTCCCCCCCCAACACCCCAACCAACCCACCCACCCACCCCACCTACCACCCGCCCTGGCCCCCTCCAACCAACCACACGCCGCCGTTACCGCCCTCACCTTGCCTCACTGCCGCGCCAGCACACACTTGCACACGAGACCACCTCCGCGTCCGCGATCTACTGTACAAATGCACGTTGGACGAAATCGATAAACGCTGTACCGAGTTTATCAAAAGTAGTACCTTTTATCGTGTGCTTATATGTGCTGTGAATGTATGATATCCTTAGACTTTCTACCTGTTCTGTCTACACGGTGCGTTGGGTTTTGCAACGTGGCGAGGTGTACAAGTAAATGGAAGTGCACGGGTTTGAATGCAATCACATCTGTTATAGTATGGGCTTCAACTAGCCCAAACTGTAGTCACACATTTCGCAAGCACGGCGCTTTTAGGTCATTCGTCACCTCGATTGCTGACTGACAGTCTCGTCTGGACCGCATTAGTCATACTCCGTTTTTACAACCAGCGGCTTGCAATCCGAGCCGCGGGCCTTACGAGGTAGATCGAGCGCGCGTGCGGGCGGCCAAATGGTGCTCGGCGGGATTTAGGAGGCCATAGCAGCGTTTCGGAAGTGCACGGCGCGTGCCGTTGGTGTCGCGTGCGCGTGGCGGGTAGCAGCGCGTGCGTGCTGACAGTGCGTTGCTTGCAGCATCTGCCCGCGGTAAGCCGACCAACGGTCATCAAAGCCGCGTCCATTGGCGGCAATCGCTCAAACGTAGGGTACGCACAGGACCCTGGTAACGTGGTGCGTGGGGAGTGAAGTGGCGCAAATCAGCGGCGCGACATATCCTAGTGCCCGCAGTGTGCCGCCCCGGCTAGTGGTCGGCTTAGGGTGAAATCGCTACCAGTGCCCTCGCGTTACCAATTAATTACCGCTGCATCGTGTGTCACCGCGCGCCGTCTCACCCACCGTTAGAAATGCGTGGGGGAGTGTGGCAGCAGCACATGGTGGCAGTGTTATGGCCGTCATTCGCGGTCACGCCAATGGATCTCGCCGCCACGGACCCGCCCTCACTATCACCCCCACTCCCCTCGCACTCTCCCCTCACTGCACCCAGATGTATACGCGGCCTCTAGCCCTAGTAAGTTCCACTTCTCATTCTCTTCGCACACGTCCAATCCCCGCACTTTTTCCCTCCCCGCCCCGTCCTCGTCGCGCAGTGTCGTTTCCAGCATGGCGCAGGACACCCCTAGCGGGGCTCCTAGCGGGGCTGGCGGGGAGCAAGGCGAGCGCGCAGGCGAGGGGAAGGGCACGCACGCGCGGATGGGCGCGGACGGGTGCTTCGTGCTGCGCACGGGCGCGGCGATGCCGGCCATCGGGCTGGGCACGTGGCTGGAGGGCGACGGCGGCGAGCAGACGCAGGAGGCGGTGCGCGTGGCGCTGCAGTGCGGGTACCGCAGCATCGACTGCGCGCACCTGTACGGCACGGAGATGGCGGTGGGGCGCGCGCTGGCGGACGCGTTCAGCGCGGGCGTGTGCAGGCGGGACGACGTGTTCCTCGCGTCCAAGGTCTGGTGCACCACCTCCAACGCCAGCCGCGTCCTCCAGGTATGCCGGCCCCCCCACCCACCCCGCGCTGCTGCCCGTTGCACACGGGTCACACGCGCGCCCCGACCGAGCTATACCGCAACTGCATCGCCTTCCTATGCCTCATTCCTCTCACCAACTCTCTCCTTCTGCCCATCCCTCCCCGTACCCCCTCCTCCCTCCCTCCCTCCCTTCCGTCCTCCCCTCCCCAACCCCCCCCACGGCAGGCGTGCGAGCGCGCGTTGAAGAACCTGTGCGTGGAGCACCTGGACCTCTTCCTGCTCTCATGGCCGCTCGCCTCGCCGCTGAACCGCACGCCCGCCGACGCCACGGACCCGCCCGTGTCGTCGCCACGGCGCGGGCAGGTGTCGCTGAACGTGGCGGAGCTGTGGGCGGGCATGGAGCAGCTGGTGGCCAGTGGACGCGTGAAGGCCATTGGCGTGGCCAACTTCACCGCGCCCATGGTGCTCGACCTGCTGCACCACGCCCACGTGCCCCCCGCCGTCGTGCAGGTGCGCTGCTCTCACTCTCCCCATGCGCGTGCCGCATGGCAGTATGAGATGAGGGGTGCATTAGTTTAGGTGCATGCGGTACGATGCCCGCCAGGCGGTCTCATGGTCAGCGGGTGGCAGTTGCACTGTGCCAGGTATTGCTTTGCAGCGCAGATGAGGTGGGTGTGCTCACTGCTTCACAACCACCAAAAACTCTCAAATCTATGTGTCTGCCCCTGTGTATGGTTCTGTGTGCCATGGTGTGTGTGGCAGGCGGAGATTCATCCACTGTGGCGGCAGGAGCAGCTGCTGTCAGTGTGCCATGCCAATGGCATCCACGTGTCCGCACACACGCCCCTGGGCACACCAGGGGTGGCACCGCTGGCGCTGTCGTCACAGGAGCAGGCCGAAATGAACCTCTGGAGTGTGCCTGCCCCCGCTGGCAAGGGGCGCTCGCGCACCGTGCACGGCCCCATGCTGCGCCACTATGCCGTGCAGGACGTCGCTCAGCAGCACGGCAAGACACCCGCCCAGGTATGCCATGCCGTGCCATGCCATGCCGTGTCACTAGCAGCACAGTGCACATGCGTTCATAGTATGATGCGGGTTGTGAATTGGCTCTGCTAGCATCACGTGAAAGTGTATGCACAGGCGCGCTGTCACACTACATGCTGACCTGCACCACTTACCCACCCCCTTCTCACACCGCTCCGCACATGCGCTCCCAGGTGATCCTGCGGTGGGCGCTGCAGCGGGGCACGAGTGTGCTACCAGTGAGTGTGAGGGAGCAGCGCATCCGCTCCAACTACGATCTGCTCGACTGGTCCCTCACAGACGCGGAGTGGGCGCGCATCAGTGCCATCGAGCCGCAGATCCCGCTGCTCGGCCCCTGCCTCGCGCCCGCCTCGTCGCTGCCCAACAGCACCAGCACGGGCGGGCGCCCTGAGACGTTCCAAGAAGAGGAGGAGGACGTGGTTCTGGAGGACGGCGATAAGGGCAAGGAGGGCCAGGGGTAACTGGCTGAAGGGGCTGAAGGTTAGGGGGGTAATGGGTAATGGGTAGATGTAGAGGGGGGGCAGGTGTGGGTTAGGCGTGAGGGAGGAGGGAGAGGGGAAGGTGCAGAGAACAGGAGTAGAGGGCGTAGGTGCTGGCATGGGGGCGTTGAATGAGCTATGGTGATATCAGGTTTTAGGAAAGGGCATGGGTGGACCATCAGTAGCAGTGAATTAGCACTGATTTGGGATGCGTGTTTATTGTGCTAGGTTACTGTAACATACTATACCAGCATTGTCAGATACAGTATTGCTGCAAATCTCACATTTTGCTTCTACCGGTAGTAGCCTTCTCCCTGCAGCCAATACACAAGATGCCCAACCCCTGCACGCGAAATTGCCTCGCACATTCCAGAAACCTTGCACACGAAGGTTTTTTCCCGGGCAGTTGCACCCACGTTACAAGCACGTCAACCAATACGAACCACAGAAACAGAAGAGACCGAAGTCAAACAGTCAACGGTGAGTTACAAAATTTTGCTATAAGCCCTTTTTGCCCGATGCGAATTGACGAAACCTCCACGAAATGCATGAATCACTTAAGCGCCCCCTTCACAAGGCAACCTTGGGTTAGTCAAACGGACATCGTGTGTACTGCACTGGGAGGAAAGGGTGCTGTATCTCCTGCCAAAAACTATTCCTGGAAATGCAGGAGTGGTACAGTATTACGTGTTGAAGTTCTACGCTAGTGTTATATACATCTTTGTTTATTAAGCACCCAGCTCCTGCAAGCTACCAGGGGGTGCTTCATCTTTCAGGGTGATTTGCAGCTGCCATGAGAAATGGCAGCAACACCATTGTTCTGCCTAACGATATCTTCCACCGTAACCTCAGGCCTGGACTGGCCTGGCCAGTTCTCTGCACTGCCTATCACCCCCACCACTTCAACATTCCACCACCCAATGATTGCTCCTTCCACCCCAGCGTCTGCTGCTGCTGCTGCTGCTGCTACCTGCACGGCGCACACTAGGTGCGCTGCTCACCAATACGCCAAGGAGCTTCTCCTCCCTCCAAATCCCCGCCATGCCTCTGCCCCTCGTGCTGCTGCTGCTGGTGGTTCCCCTGGTGGTACTGCTGATGGTGCAGGTGATGGTGGTGGTGATGGTGGTGCAGCTGGTGCGGGTGGTGGGGCAAGTTGTGGCCCATCTTGTGAGGCCATGCCACATCATCTTCAGCCAAACATTCCCCCTCAACTGCATCCCCTTCCTCTTCCAACTTCCCTCTCCCTTGCATCCTCTCCTCGCCTATCTCATCTGCAAACCGCACAAAGCTAGTCCGCCGACTCCCCCGCCCCAACCCATCTCCCTCCTCCTCCTCCCCCTCGCCCTCCCTCACCTCCCCTTCCTCCTCCCTGCCCACCGCTGCCCGCGCATCCAGCCGTTCAAACATGCTGCCCCCGCCGCCCCCTTGCAGCAGCATGCGAGCAGCCGCACTCGCCAGCCCGCTGCTACTCCGGGGGAGCGAGAAAGACGAGGAGCGAGCAGCAGGGGGCACATACCCACGACCGCCGAACAGCGGGCGCATGTACGTGTCATCTAACCAGCGCCACAGGTCATGCAGGTCCCTCTCATGTGCGCTGAGGATGCGGGAGGCGAGGCGGGCATCGGGCATGGGGAGACCAGCCATGGAGGAGGCGGGCAGGCACACCACCATGTCCCCCTCCACATGCCCCGCTGCCCCCTGCGGGTACAGCAGGCGCGGCCGTGGGGGCGTGGCACGCACAGGGGCAGAGGGCACGGCAGGTGCGGCGTCGGGGGCAGAGGGTGCGGTGGGCAAGGAGGGCGCAGAGGACACGGAGGTGACGGGTGTGGAGGACGAGAAGGGGCGCGGGCGAGAGGGGGGGAGGGAGGGCGAGGCAGCGAGGAAGACAGTGGTAGAGGCTGGAGAGATGGGGTGTGGGGGCAGGTACTTGGGCGAGGAGGGCCCCTCGCTGTAGTTGCTGGCGCTGTGGTGGAGAGTGAAGGGCAGGAAGTAGTCTATGAGTGGACTCGTGAGCAGCCCAAACACCTGCCCACGCCGCACACGGAACGAAGGGGGGGACGAGCGGTGAGGCGTGACGGATGGGGGTGCAACTGTGTGTGAGGAGGTGGGATTGTGATTGTACGGACGTGTGGCAAGCGGCATGCAAGAAAGCATGGTGAGTTGAGAGACTGTGGGAGGTGGAATCGATGCATACCGACAAGCAAGGAAAGTGCAAGGTGTGGTGAGGTGTAGTGAGGTGCACGGCAGGGAGGGGCAGCGCTCACGAGAGTAGAGAAGAGGACGAGCGCTATGGTGGGCGCAATGAGCATGGTTGCCGTGGCCTTGCTTTCCTCTGAGAACTGCTCATGCTCACATACACATAATCAACCATGCACACATGCACACAACACCACAGGAAACAGTACGGGCATGCAATGATGTGCAGCTGACGAAAAGGGGAGCTGAGAGGAAGGATTCGCAAGTGAGTGGAGAGCAAGAGGGCGCGCAAGCAAAGGCAGGAGCAGGTGGGGGTGGGGCGTACAGCAAGGTAGGTGAGGGCGATGGAGACAGCACCCCTCATGAGACCCGCCCACCAGATCACCACCTGCATGGCATGGCGACGTATGGCATGGGATAAAAGGACAGGGAAGGGCATGGCATGGTGTGGCATGGCTTTTCCTTCCATTTGCTCCCTCCTTCCCTTTCCACCCAATCACACCCCACATCCCTCCGCTCTCGTCCTCCCCAGCCCTGCCCCCTATCACACCTCTGTATGTGCCACACCCAACTCTACGCCCCAACCCCCCACTCCCTCCTCACTGGCCAAGCACGTTACCCCCCACCCCCACCCCCAACCCCTTCCCCCGCGCCTCCCCAGGGCGCGCACCTGGTGGGGGGGCCGCAGAGCGCGTGAGTTTTTGCGCTGCAGGTTGAGCAGGGCGGAGAGCGGGAACACAAACGCTGCCCGCCCCGCCAACACCAGCCCCAGCAGCAGCGCCAACAGCACAAACGTGTCCCTGCCACCCACGCGCCAACGCGCGTAAACATGAGGAGAACGGGTGAAGGGGGTGGGAGGGCGTAGGCGGATTGGAAAGCGTTGGAGTGGGGGGGAGGAGAGGAGAAGGGGGGAGGGGGGGGAGAGGGGGGAGAGAAGCGTAGGAAAGACGGAGTGTGTGTGAGAGGACGAGCTGGTGGGGGGAAAGACAAGGCGCAGGTGAGGAAATGAGGGAGGGTTGGTTACCTGACGTTGACGCTGGTCCACGTCTCGGAGTCGAGTGCGTCCATGCCCACGTACATGAATATCACTGTCTCCGCTATGAACGACATTGTTGCAAACGCATGCCTGTAAGCATGCACGCATGGTGTGCACGTGTGGGGTGCGGGGAGGAGGAGGAGCACACAGGCACGGTGTGAGGGATGTTTCCTTGCAGTCTGCTCTGCTGCCACAGCTATAAGTGCCCTTGAACAACGCTGTTACAATGAGTGTCACCGCCACGTCACCATGCTGCAGTCACGCATTCGTCCCACCCACCCACCAGCCCGCAACAAACCCCCCAACGCGCACAAACTTTCTACTCACTCCAATCCCTGATTGCTCACACCCCCCGCCTCACAACCACCCCTCAACGCCCTGCTCCACTCCCCCTACCCGCCCCCGTGTTAGCGTACTTGGTGGTGACACGGGAACTCTCAGTGACGTTGTGCCAGGTGTAGTGGCTCATGACGATGCCGGCGAAGAACACGGAAAGGATGCCGCTGAGGCGCAGCACCTCCGCCAGGATGTACGACGCATACGCCATCAGCGCCATCAGCGCTATCTCGCGGTCCGTTGCGTGGCTGCCCGCGCGAGAGAGGGCGAAGGGGAGTGGAGTAGGGGGGTTGGCAGGGAGGGGACGTGCGGGGATGGGAAGTGGGGGGAAGGAGTGGGGTGCTGAGTGGTTGAGATGAGTGGCTGGTGGGGCAGAAAACTACACACTGGCATGCGGGGAGGGGCAGGGGAGGAGGAAAGCCGTGGCAATGATTACCTGGAGAAGTAGAGTGTCTTCATGACGTATGCTGACAGCAATCCCAGCTGCACCCACACGCACACGGGAGGCAAGGCGGACACACAGATACAGGCGGGCAGGTGAGAAGGAGGATAGCAGAACAGGGGAGTGAGAGAGACATGGTGGAAGCAGCAGCAACTGCATTCCTACCGCAGTGCGAGCAAACACTTCTCAAGCACCCACGCCTGCTCTTTTCCCTCCTTCCGCACTCTCTACTTTCAGGAACGCGACCCAGCAGGGCAGAGAGCAGAGGAGCACGGACCGCGACGCCGAGCAGCGTGGAGGCGGTGAAGAGGTAGAGGAAGTCGGAGAGCACGTTGAGCAGCGTGGCGAGGGAGAGGGGGTGCGCGGTGGGCGAGAGGGCGAGCTGCTGCACGGCGCGGAAGAGCACAATGGACGTGGCGTCGTTCACCACACCCTCGCCAAACACCAGACTGTACACCAACGGCTGCTCCTCCTGATCCAGCACCTGCGCGCGCACGTGAGTGCGTGCAGTGCAGGGAATAGAGTATAGCACGCATGCACGCAGGGAGCAGGGGGGAGGGGAGTGGGGGGCACACAGGAGGGCACACAGGGAGGCACACAGGAGGAGAGGCGGGTGGGGAAGGGAAGAGAGGGAGGAAGGGGCATTGCAGGCTGCTGGTGCGCGTGGGCACGCTATGCCCTCCCTCACACACCCACCTTTGCCCGCAGCTTTGCCCATCTCCACCAGACTATACACCCTCATGGCCTCTTAGAACCCCACTATCCCCTGACTCTCCCCCCAACCCCACTACCCCCCCGGTCGCCCCCCCAGCCCACCTGCAGCACGGAGACAGAGTCAGTGGCGGAGAAGATCACACCCAGCGCTGCACGCACAGGGGGAAAGGGGAGGAGGGCGAGGAACGGCACGCAGAGAGGCGGTGGGGGAGAGGGGGGAGAGGAGAGGAGAGAAGGGAGGGGGGTAGGTGAGGACAGACTCCAAGCAGTGAGGGTGGATTGGTGTGGGTGGAGTCATTTAGATGCTGGCATGTGAAGCATGCGATGGCAGTGACTACGAGGCACATGGCACTGACCAAGATACACGTGGCTGGCCTGAATTGGCAGGCCCAGGAGAGGGAAGAGGTAGTTGCAACCTGCAATGCAGAGTCAGCAGCGAGAAGCAAGTGGGAGAAGGGCGAGAGAGATGGGGAATGAGAGGAGGGGAGAGGTGGGGGTTGAGAGGAGGGGAGAGGTGGAAGCACAGATGAGAGGAGAGGAGAGCATGAGGGGGAGATGACACGAACGAGCCTTGAAGAATGTGGGCAGGCAGGTGCACGGGAAGCATACACAGTGCAGTGGCAGAGAGCAATAGCAGGGACGATGGGCTGTGGGGAAGCAAGTGTCTTGGCAAGAAGCACGAAACGAAGCACTGTTCCATGCCAAAGAAGAAGGATGCAGAGCGGATGAGCACGGAGGGGGATTTGAGGGGGGGGGGGGGGGGAGGGAGGGGGGAGGGAGGGGGAGGGGGTGCGGCAGTGCGAGGGGCAGCAGAGTGCACGGCGACCTGCAGTGATGACGGCGACGGAGATGAACACGCCTGCGATGCCGTACGCCATGATGCCCCCGAAGTTGCGGAAAAACTGCTTCTTCTTCACCTGGAACCTGCCCTCCCCCGCCCGTGCCCGCCACCCCACGCAGACACATGGAACGACGGAGGGAGACGGGGGAATTGGGAAGGAAGGAGGGGGCAGGAGGGGAGGGAGGCGGGAGAGGGAGAGGAAGGGGGGGAGCAAGGGAGAGAGTGAGAGGCGACGAGGGGTGTGGGACGGCGGAGTGAGAGGCAGCGATGGTTGTGGCGCAGGGCAGCGAGACGGCTACCGATATCCCTCAGCGATTCTCCCTCTCACTGCACTGCACACCGCGTCTACACCCTACCGCCTCACCACGGGGCATGAAGGGGAGGGGCGGGGTTGCGCGTTACCCGGCGTTGAAGATGATGGGCGGCAGCAGGTAGATGAAGAAGAGGTCCTCGTCGAACCGCAGTATCATCGAACTCGCGCCGCGCCGCACGAACAGCACCACCGCGCCTGACGCCAGGCCCTGGTGCGCACGGACGGGGGGGCGGGAGGAGAAGGAGAGGCGACGAGGAAGCAGCGCGGAGACGATTTGATGCTCGCGACGAGACGTACGTAACGGGCGAAGGCGCGTAAGGGGCGACAGGGACGAAAGGAGCAAAAGGAAGGAGCGGCGACAATGCACAAAAGGGGGAACGAGAAGCAAGTGAGACGGGGATGCAGGCGGCACTGACGAAGAGGATGGCGGTGACGGCGTCGTTGATCCATCGCACGCCCTCCAACACGTGCCCCACCACGATGCACGCGCACAGCAGCCCCACGAACAGCGTCAGCGCCGCCACGTCCGTGCCGCCCCCCGCCAGCACCGACACCACGCTCACCACCGGGACGCCGCCAGCAGTGCTGTGCGACGCGGCGGCGGCGGCCGCTGCGCCCGCATGGCTGGACCCTACCAGCGCTGCGGTCGGCGCTAAAGGCGGGGGGAAGAAGGGCATGGGGTAGGAGACGTGCTCCATGAGTGCCGGCAGGATGGCGTGCGCGACGGGCGCATGGGGCATGGACGACCGCGACGACGGCGGGCGCGACGGGGAGGAGCGAGAGAGCAGCGAGCGAGTGGCAGGCGTGGGATGAACGGCTCACGAGAAAGTTCTCAACTGACGGGCTAGGAACGTATTAGGCTATCTAATAAGCGATGGCACGCTACTAAGCGTCTAAAAATGACCAGGCAGGACAGCGGTGCCCGGGGGCAATGTTGGTGAAAAACAAGAGCATGGCGGTATGGCATGGCGTATGGTGGCACAAGTTGTTGGATGGCGGCGTCATGCAGCCTGTCGTCGCAGTGGTTTGCTTCGACTTTCGTTAGAAATCGCAATCAGTCGTCGTCCTATCCGTATCTCCTCTTCCTAGTGACGATTATCGACGACATCCCGAGTCGACAAGCTGGTTTCTGGCCAATGGGTGGTTAATCCGGGAAACAGGGTTAGGAGGGACGAATCAGGAGCCTGGTGAATGCACCCGCGTTATAAAGAGAACCTTTCAGCACACGGTAGGTTGTTTCACTATCAGATACCAAATAACCGAACTTACAGATTCTGTGTTCGGTGCCAGTGTCAGATTATAACGCGTCATAAGTGAAGCGCGGAAGCCATACCGGAAAGTCGATTAATCTGACAACCTGAAAGCATATTCTTCAATGCAATTAGTTACTAAACGCCGCACATTGACACTAGTTACTACCATCTCTGCTGCAATTCCGCCATTCGAAGGTCGCGGTCCGTGCATAGACCCTCTGATCGGCATGTATCCCCATTGTCCAGATTCAGTGTGTTTGAGACTCGCAGGCGCGCTCATGTCGACGACAACGCAGCCGCTGCTGGCATCTCAGACAGACTCCGTAGTGACCTCTTCCGCGCCACGCCCGCTCTTTCCAACCAATACAGCGCCGTCGCTCCTGCCAGCGTCGCTCCTGCCAGCATCGCCAGCTTCGAAATCCCCTCATTCCTTCCACTGTTCCTCCTCCACTCCCTGCTTTGCTTCCCACCAGACCCGGCATCGAGATCCCAGTGGAGGGGTGAATCTTGAGTCAAAACGGATACATGCGTCCCTTCCATTCCACGCCTCCTGCACTCCCGTCCCCGCCTCGCCTCACCAGAGCCAGTACCAGAGAAACTGAGAGAAAGGCATACAGTGAGAGGGGGCCAGGTTTGAGTTGCCTGAACAGATATTTTCCTTGCGTGGGGGCCGGTCTTCTTTAAAAACACCCTCAAGCTGCTGCTCTCCTCACGTGCCACGCACAACAAGGGAGCATCAAGGACGCTGATTAAGGTGAGTGTACCCACTCAAGGGATTAACCTCCCTTCCTCTGACTCACCCACCCAAGGGATTAACCTCCCTTCCTCTGACTCACCCACCCAAGGGATTAACCTCCCTTCCTCTGACTCACCCACCCAAGGGGATTCACCCCTTCCTTCTCACCCATCCCACCCAAGGGGATTCACCCCTTCCTTCTCACCCATCCCACCCAAGGGGATTCACCCCTTCCTTCTCACCCATCCCACCCAAGGGGATTCACCCCTTCCTTCTCACCCATCCCACCCAAGGGGATTCACCCCTTCCTTCTCACCCATCCCACCCAAGGGGATTCACCCCTTCCTTCTCACCCATCCCACCCAAGGGGATTCACCCCTTCCTTCTCACCCATCCCACCCAAGGGGATTCACCCCTTCCTTCTCACCCATCCCACCCAAGGGGATTCACCCCTTCCTTCTCACCCATCCCACCCAAGGGGATTCACCCCTTCCTTCTCACCCATCCCACCCAAGGGGATTCACCCCTTCCTTCTCACCCATCCCACCCAAGGGGATTCACCCCTTCCTTCTCACCCATCCCACCCAAGGGGATTCACCCCTTCCTTCTCACCCATCCCACCCAAGGGGATTCACCCCTTCCTTCTCACCCATCCCACCCAAGGGGATTCACCCCTTCCTTCTCGCCCATCAAACCCAAGGGGATTCAGTCCCATTCCCTCTTAACCACCAAAATCCCCTTCCCTCTCACCCACCAAACCCAAGGGGATTCAGTCAGTCCCTTTCCCTCTCACCCACCCTACCCAAAGGGATTTTGTCACCTTCCCTCTCCCAACCGCTCAAGGGGATTCAGTCCCCTTCTCTCTCACCCACGTTTCAGGCCCCTTCTCTCTCACCCACCCGCTCAAGGGGTATCAGGCCCCTTCTCTCTCACCCACCCACCCAACCCATCCCCACCTTCACCTACCAGCAGGCAGTACGAGAAGCAGAAAGCCCACCCAAGGGGTTCCACGCCCCACTTACCCACCCAAGGGGTTTCAGGCCCCACTCACCACCCAAGGGGTTTCAGGCCCCACTCACCACCCAAGGGGCTTCAGGCCCCACTCACCACCCAAGGGGTTTCAGGCCCCACTCACCACCCAAGGGGTTTCAGGCCCCACTCACCACCCAAGGGGTTTCAGGCCCCACTCACCACCCAAGGGGTTTCAGGCCCCACTCACCACCCAAGGGGTTTCAGGCCCCACTCACCACCCAAGGGGTTTCAGGCCCCACTCACCACCCAAGGGGTTTCAGGCCCCACTCACCACCCAAGGGGTTTCAGGCCCCACACACCACCCAAGGGGTTTCAGGCCCCACTCACCACCCAAGGGGTTTCAGGCCCCTTTCTCTCTCAGTCTCCCACCCAGCCCATCTCACCTTGACCTACCAGCAGTAGGAGCAGCAGAGAGCCCACTTTCTTAAGGAAACAGCACCCCCAGAGGCGGTGCCTTGTGGGATGAAGTGTGGTAGTGGAAAATTGCTTCCAGCCCAAGACTCAAATCCCACCCCTGACGTAGCCAGAGCTGACGCGAACCAGAGCCGCCGGCCGGTCGGCTCTGACGGTGTCCATTAGGCCTTGAACGCCAGATCGGTTACTTGAGCACCGAGTGCCGTGCCGCGCAGATTCCACCCACCACACCCCGACCACAAGGCACAACCCCAGGAGATGCTGTCCCTAAGGCAGTGAACTCCAAGCTTGCTCCCCTGCTCCCCCACCCACCCACCCCACACTTCACCCCCATGCCTCCTTACCTCTACTTACCTGTACTTACCTGAGCCGTGCAGAGCGCCATGATGCTGAGGCTGCTGGGAAGGGGGGGGGTGATTAGGAGGGGGCAGGACTCCTCTGTGGTCCAGGCAGGGTGCTGCTGGGAGGGAAGGGAAAAGGGAGAGAGGAGGAGGTGAGTAAAAGGGTGGACTTCACTCTCCCGCCCTTGCTCCAGTGCTCCCAACTTCAGCCTGCAGGAGGGGAAGAGGGAGAGGAGAGAGGGGATCAGCTTACCATACCTCACCTGTTACCATTCCAAACCTTGTACCATACCTCACCTGCAACTGTATCTACCCTAGTCTGCCAGCTAGCCCCCCAGCCCCCACTGCTGCTACTGCTGCTGCTGCTGCTGCCGCTTCTGCTGCTGCTGCTGATACTGCTGCTGCTGCTGCTGCTGCTGCCGCTTCTGCTGCTGCTACTGCTGCTGCCGGTCTGCTACTCTGCTTCCCCTGCCGCTGCTAGTGCTGCTGCTGGTCTGCTACAGCCTTCAATGTACTGGGAGGGAAGGGAGAGGGAGGGAGGCAGGGGAGCAAGGGAGACCAGTGAGAATGGGAAGAAGAGAAGGCAGCAGCGTGAAGACAGGGAGAGGGCAAGAAACGAGAGCGAGCACGGGAAGAAGACCGGCAGCAGTGTGAGTGCATGAGGGAAAAGAGGCTCACCTTGTTCCAGACGACCCCATCCCGATACTCTCCCATTCCATCCCAGCCGAGTGGAGTGCTGCCCCCCTCCAAGCACGGCCACAGGGGAGGGGCGTGAGGGAGCGTCGGTGTTGACCCCACACCCCTCCCCGCCACCTGCAACGCGCACACACAGAGCTAGTCAGAGCGCGGTGGTGGGAGCAAGTTGAATGGGAGACTGTGACTTGAGATCCAGCGGAGGGGAGGCACGGCCACAAGCTGCAGACCCAAGGGCACCTGAAAAAAACCTGAGGGGTGAACCTGCACCTGAAGGGGATACCTGCACTGCACCTAAGGGGGCTACCTGAAGTGAGGGGTCTGAGGCATGCAAATCGTGCTCAACCAGTGGCATTGTTTCAAAGGGAAGGCGAATGCACAACCGGCAAAGGAACTGGCAGCAAGAAAGCAACAGTGTGAAAACGACAAGAGTGATTCAGTATGAGCAGTGAGCGGCAGGCAAGAGTGAGTCCAGGGAGGTGAGAGCACTTAGCTGGCAGCTGAAGAACCGCCGAGAGATGCTGCCTCGTGTCCCCTTCCCTCCCCTCCCCTCCCCTACTGCTTCCGCGCCCCCCGCTGCTGACGCTGCCACAGCAGGTCCCTTCAGCTGTCTCTGCTGCATTGCGAGTGACCTGCAGAGGGGCAGAACGGAAGGGAAGGCCAAGTGGGAGTGAGTGCAGGCCTTGAAACAGGCACGGGCGAATCAAAGGGATGAGCGCAAGAGGGCAAGTTAGCAGAAAACGAGTGCAGCGGGAAAGAGAGGTATAAGAGGCTTACCTTGAGAGGCCAAGCCCATCCTGATACTCTCCTTTGCTGCAGTGGGATTGCCGTGCTGCAGTGCTGCCTCCCTTTCGTCCCCACGAGTCCCTGCACGGCCACAGGGGAGGGGCGTGGGGAAGCGTCGGTGTTGACCCCAGCGCCCCTCCCCTCCACCTGCAACGCACACACACGGCGGTGGTCAGTATGCATGGCATGGGCACAACACAAGCCAGAGACTGGAAACTGCCAAATGTGGAAGAGAAAGGGAGGGCCACTGGTTGAGGCCAGGCCACACGCCACAGACGCCAAGGGAACCTGCACCTGAAGGGGGGACCTGCACCTGAGAGGGTTACCTGCACCTGAGGAGATACCTGAAGAGAGGGGGTCTGAGGCATGTAAACCGAGCTCAACCAGTGGCATTGTTTCAAAGGGAAGGGCGAAAGCACAACGCGAAAACGAAATGGCAGCAAGAAAGCAACAAGCCATGATGTGGCGGGCAAGGGTGAGGGCAT